ACGCTTATGCCTTAAATATACTTCATTGCATTCTTATTGTTAACCTTAAATTCATTAGCATATCTTGTTCTAGATAATGGTATGCATCCAAATATTCTATCAACGTGCTTTGAAATGAGGGAGCAAATACTATCAAACTTTTGTATTTGTTGTGTTTTGCTTATTTAAGAACTAGTGTACGCACGTGCAATGCACGTGTTGCAGTTTAGTTGGGTATTTAATAGCGTGGAGTGATTCTAAGGTTTTTTTTTACTATAAGGTAATGTTTGTATAATTACATGAATTGATTCTTTTGTCAGTTAATCTCTCTTACAATGAAATGTTATAATGTATGTATGTTATGACATTAGAAAAATGATTGCAAATTGATACAACTTATTCTCTAATTGATTCTTTTATAATTACATGAATTGATTCTTTTGTCAGTTAATCTCTCTTACAATGAAATATTATAATGTATGTATGTTATGACATTAGAAAAATGATTGCAAATTGATACAACTTATTCTCTAAAAAAGGCACTAAAGACTACTTGTGTATATCAATATTATCTACCTCCTAATCATCGCAAGATGATATACTTATTTACCAGCAACCATATTGTAAAGAGTTGAATTCTTGTCCAATATGTAATTTGGTGCATAAAACTCGTGAAACGTGATAATACAATTTACGTGCCATAACTTAATCATATTTGGTGTGCAATCATAGATGACAATTTTGCTGACAACATGTCATGTGTCACAAAAAATAACGTGTTTTTGTTCATCGAGAACACGGAAGAATGCAAAGACACTATTTAAGCCTCAAGNAAGCCTAAGTTGATGTATCCAGTTTTGAAGTGCTAAGACAAAAAATTCACTTGCTTTAATAGCAAATTCATGAATATATTCACACATGTACTTCTTTCTATACAAATGACTTAGCCAAAAAGGACTCAAGTTGCTCATGAGACAAATTTTTTTTTTTTAATAAAATTATACTTCAAATATTATCAAAGAAAATGTATATTAGTGTCTTGTAGTTTCAATAGTATAAAATACCTACAAAGACAGGTGGTGGTACGTCTTTGCCATCTTCTTTCCAGAACTTCAGTTTACGAAATAATATCTCTGCACTTCCTTTTCGAATATGACCTCGATCTGCATTTTTGGAATAATATAATCAGGAAAGAGTTAAAATTATAGAAAACATATGAAAAAAGTGTTCAATAAGAAAAAACAAACCATATCAGGCTTTCTACATCACTGCAGGGGGAAAAAAAAGATGCACAGCAGAGCAAAGATTGAAGAAAAAATGAAGCTTCTTAGCTGGATGAAGATAAAAGTTGAAAGCCAAAAGTACAAACACCAACAGGAGTATAAGACATCCCAGAAGAGCAAAAAAAAACTTTGAAAATACTGACAAGAACATGTTAGTACCTTGCGAGAACATTAGAAGCAGAAATCGAGCATAAAACACACATTGAGCAAAAATAAAAGATTCTGAAATAAATCATGGTGAATGATAGCTCAAAGACAGAGAAAAGGAAATCTCTCCATGGCATAGACAAAGAGAGCAAAAAGAGTATATGATTAATAGAAGAAACACATTAACAGGTATTTGAATAAACCAATCAACTTCGATTGCTCTAAAAGAATATTAAGAGACAAATTAAATACTCACAGATTTTTACACCATTGCAGCATGGATTCATAGTGTTTGTACCTTTTCCGGCAACTCCATGGCTAACCCAAGTACTAAAACTCTACCTTGTGAACCAGCTTCCACATTTGAACGTCCTAAAAGATGTAATGAAGTAAACAGATGATAAATATGATTCAACCATATACTCTTTGATTAGAAGAATTAAGCAAATTGAATACTAAACAAAAACCATAACTTTAACCTTGATAATAAAACAATATGCAACTTATGACTGTCTTTGGTTCGCATTAAATCGTCAAATTGATTATAGGAATATAAATATTCTATCAAGTTAACAACCTTGGTCAGCAACCAATGTCGTTACCCTGGTACCACCTCAGTAACCTTTTGATATCTAACAAAGGATTTCATCAACCTAATGAACAAAGAAAATCAAATTATGGTTGTAAAGTATAAACCTTTGACATTATCGGTATAGAACATTGCTCTGCTAGAGCATCCATTTCATTCAACCACTCCATTTCTACATGTTGCTGATAATACTCTGCAACACTAACTTCTGCACCTGTACCATCAAAGCAAACAAATGAAAAGCCTTATAAGCAGACCGTCAATTGTCAATAGGTATTAATCACACATCTTGACTTACAATCAAATTCTAATAGAATTTCACTAAAAATAGGAAATCATAATTAAAATTAAAGCCAGAAATTAGCAAAAATAAACACAAGTGAACACAGAAAGTTCCCATAAATATAAATCAAGTGTATAGAAACATCCAAAGTAGACAGTTGAGAAAATAGTGCAAGTAGGTGCTAGTAATACTTAAGTTTTTTTCTACAGCCTAGCATCTGAATTCAATATTTGCCAATCAATATTATTTTCATTAAATGCAGTCTTGAAAGCAAGAAATATGTTGAACCTACTCAATAGTAATGAAAGCAAAAGAAAGGAAAAGAGCATAGAGAGTAGCTAAACGATGCTTTCCATGTATCCAATGGTTGTCACGGTCTCTGTAAAAAAAATCAAAATCAATAGGACCAAAATTTTTGATTTTTTACAGTAATTCAACAAAATTGAAGAATTAGAAAAACCAGCCAACCAATGAATATTCGAAAAATAAACGAAAAGTGGAGTCCCAATTAATGGGGTTGGGAGTCACAAAAGGAATTATGGGAAATAAAAAAAAAAAAGATCATTAAAAAAAATCGACAATGAATTATGGGCAACGATTTTTTATTTTCCTTTTCTATGTACCTACTACTGCTTTCCTGAATTGAATACAAAATTTTGGCCAAATGGAAACCCTAATTTTGAAGATCAGAAATGCACAAAAGTGACTGGATCCTTAAATAAATAACAATAATAAATGGAAATAATCAACCTTACCTCCTCCTGGAATTGAATTATTTCACCTGACGAAAATTAATACACGATTCAACTAAACCTTTGTCTCTTTCTCAAAACACGGAAGAAGGAGAATAATGTGACTGATATCGGAAAATTGAGCCAAAAAGATACAGAAAAACATCGATGGACGAATCTAGTGAAAAAAAAATATTTACATGAATCCCAATTATTATTAATACCGCCTTAATCTGCCCTTGCGGCTTCCCAAGAGATGGTTCCAGTTTCCCGGCTCTGATTTTAGACTCCGTTTCATTTCTATTTTGTTTTTATTTTTTTGGGAGTGGGATATAAGGTCAAGAGGAACAAACATAATGTTATATTTCCAAGAAACAATTACCCAGTTCCAATGTTACAAGTAAAAACATATTCGAAAAACAAAGTGATTTATTTCTCAAGAGTTATAAATGCCCAATGAGAAAATCAAAATGGATATATTTCAAACCAACTAACATATCATCTCTATCTTAACAAGTGTATTGCCAGAGAGTTTTTTATTCATCTAAACAATTGAAGAACCTAAATGAATAGTGCCGAATATTCTTTTCTTTAGTACAAACTCCAAATGAAAAGTTAACAATAGAAGATACGAAATAGTCAGTGGTGTCAAATTGAAGAATAAAAACTACTGGAATTATATATTTTTGCAACAAATTTTGAATGGGAAGCAAATCATACTATTAAACATCAAAATTCAAGATATATCATCATAAAAAATTAGCTTACCACTCGAGCCTTTTTTGATTTATCATCATTGCCATCTTCTTCATCTCCTGAATTATTCTCTTATTCCACATAATTCTGCTCATCTTCTACAAGAACAAAAAAAAAACACAAGATCATAAAGGTCGAGAAAGAGTTCCCTTTGGATGAAGAAAATAACTTAGCATCAACTACTAAAGTAATACGAAAACATAAAGAAAACACTTTGCCAATCTCCCAGATTTCTCCTCTTTCATTTATTCATATTTAGTACATACAACAACCTAACAAAGCCCCTATTTGAGCTCCATTTTTTAAAAACCCATTCCCCCAAACACATTTTCAACCACATTCTTCCAATAAAATACTTTTACACGTAAACCTAGAACTTTTCCTTCCCTTTTAATCACACGTTCTCTAAAGAATCACCATCACAAAATCTATTCTTCCAAAAAATAGGACTCAAACCCATAGTCTAAGTAGAATATCAACTTATTGTAAATTTATAAGCTAGCTTACAGACATTATTGCAGCAAAAAATGAGAGAGAATAAATAAATAAAGATCTAATCCCCTCTTTGTGCACTCTTAAGGAAGGAAAACAGAAATTAAAGCTAAGACATTTCCTTGCACGAGAGTTCTAAATTCAACTTTATTTTTAACACTTACATATAAAAGCACCAACTGTGAATATCATGAACAAAAATATAACAGAAGATGCAAGAAATGAGAATATGCACAGGAAAAAACACACATAGAAGCAGAAAGAGAGAGTGAGAATTAATACTTGAGAATTTCTTTTTGAATAAAGCCTTCATTTTTCGCTTCCTTTTCAATACGGACTGAAGATTCTTCTTTGCGAACTTCCTCGCTTTCTTCCCTAATTTCCCCATTCCTTTTCTTTTTTCTCTTATGGATTATGCAATCTAATAAGAACCAAAAAATCAACTCAATTTCATTAAAAAAATAAAATACAATATCAAAAGAAGGATTTATATGAGCATTTACCAATTAATAATTACATAGAAGTTGTTTCTTTCTCTGCGACTGTTTTGAATTTTTCTTTTATTTGTTGTTAATTAACTAATGGGACTGCTTGGTTAGGTTTTTGAGCCAACCTGAAACATGAATGATCAATTCCGGTTAATTAATTATCGAACCAAATCAACCAGAAATTAAGAATAAAACCATACCAAATCAAATCGAATAATCTTCAGTCACAATCTACAATCAGTTCAGTTTGGGTTATTCATTTTGGAGCTCCAGAATTTGTTGTCCATAATTTCGGAATGGTGATTTGGAAGCACTAAATGGACATTAATTCATCATAAAAAAAGAATTTTAAGAGCAAAATGTATATAAATCAGATTATTTTCATTGAGGCAAAAAATTTTTGCTTCAGCAATTCACCTGTTTCCCTGTGTAGGTTGAGCGGTGATTGGGTTTGTGATGTTCCACATGGGACAGCAGCGGCTGCTCACAGGCGACACGACGCTGTAGTAACTGCTATGCTTTGCTCCGCTCCTGTCAGCGGACCATTTGATTCAGGTTCCTCCGGTGCAAAAGACAAAGCTAAGAAACCACGAAATTATGACAAAATGGAAACGTGGGAATTGACAAACAGAAAGGTTAAAAATAGTATTTAGTACCGTTTTCAACAAATTCGCCATAAAAGCAATTAATCGGATCATTCCTATACATCAATATATGAAGAAAACTTCATATTAAATCAATTAGACCCTGTTCATGAAAGCAAAAGCAACAATACATTATGGAATTTCGTTATTTTCCTAATTTAATGAAAGACCAAAATCTCAATCTCTCTAATGAAAAATCTCATACGAAAATCTATGCTTAAGAATCGCAATAACTATTTTCAGTACCAAAAAAGCAAAGCAAAAACCTTGGGTCGAGATTTTAACTGCAAGAACGTGCTCTTCTGAACTTGAAATCAAAAATCGTACTCGGGAGAGAAGAATCTAGAGAAACCGTTTGAGAGAGAATGAAGGAAAGAAGCATTAAACGCCACCGACGTCGCCAGCACCAAATCTTCACTCAGCTTCAGTCCCAACATTTTCTCCATGGATCTCGCCAACTCCAGCCTCCACTGCACCATAGCTTATACATATATGAATAGAGAGTAAAGGTAGAGTGAACTGGGAAGAAAATTGAGCAAAAAATTACAATTTAATCAAAAAAAATGAAAGAGAAATGGCGTAGAGAGAGTGAGCAACAGCAAACATGAAATATTCATTTGACTTCGAGCCAAGGTTCGAGGAAGAAGAAACCCATCAAAAATCAGATCTCAACATGTGAAAGAACTCTTGGAAAATGGAGAGAAAAAAGTTGCTCTTGGAAAATGGAGAGAAAAGTCAGGAAAAGAGGCATGGGAAAGGTTGCGTGTACGGTGGAAAATGGACGGTACAATCATAAAACGAAACGACGTCGTTTTGTATGTAGGAAAGGAGTCCAAAATGTCGTCGTTTTAAGAGGACGAAATTGGGAACAGTAATTTTAAAAGTGGCTCTTTTATTTGTTAAGGATATGAGGGGGCAAATAAGTCTTCTATTCTCTGCTAAAGGTTTTTTAGATGAAGGCTGACATTAGAAACTAGATGTGCTAGTTAATGGAAGATTAAGAATAAGAATTCCACAACGAACAAAGATGGGTGACCTTCATATTATTTAAAATATGGGGAATCAAACAATAAATATGATGTTAATATAATTACCTTAAAATAATAAAGAGAAGAGACAATAAATGAAAAAAAAAGAAAAAAAAGGAAAGAAACAGAAATTAAAAAAAAAATTATTTGCATCTAGTCCAAACACCCAACCCACTTTGAACCGCAACTAAACACCTGCCATCTTAGCAGCCTTCAACTCCTAGTGTCATGGCTGCTGCCGCAAACTCCCTTCTACCACCACCACCCTCCGCTTTCTTCACCCTCAAAAATGTTATAGAACTTTCCTATGATAATAATGCTAATTCTTTAGTCTTTGTAATGGTTGTATGCTATATATTGAGATCTATACACATTTTGGTAAGCATTTTAGATTTTGTTCATTGCGACATTAAAGTTTTAGCAAATACAATCAATCAGTAGTCACTTATAGAAAGAGTGATCGTAAATATTTTACCTTGAAATCACGTGTTTGCAAAGATAGATCAATCCAATTTTTAGGGGGTCTTCATTTTCCTCACTATAAGTGTCTCCCTTCCTGGCACTCAGCATCTACTATGCTGCCTCTCGTAAAGAAGATGTAAATTAGCCACAAGCCTAGCATAAAAATTCCCATCGATGTATGTTGTTATAATCGTAATTCTTATATGTGTTGATAAAAAAGTGTAAATTCTAAAACCTAGTAAATTAAAAAATTTGTTTTTCATTATCCAATTCAAACAATTCATGCTAGACAAACATAATATACTATGAGCAGTTTTTAAGCAATTCTGACTGCATCATGTAAACAAAATATAGTGTTCTATGTGGTTTTAATCAGTTGCAAAAATTAACTAAGATATTGAAACATGAACACCAGATATAACGTAGTAAACCCTAAAGGAAAATATCCATGGACACGGACCCCATGTCATGGGTAAATCAATCCACTAAATCAAACGATAAAAAATACAACAGTCTCAATTTTGTAATTTCGCAAAATTAACAAATAACAATCAAAAGAAATATAAGAATATCTCTCATGTTTTTTTTTTTTGACTTGTTGTACAAGTTGAATCATATCCCTAGTTTTGATTTTATTGTCACTTTACTATTGCACTTATCTGCAACCACCACTTGAATTAAGAATCACAATTCTTAAATTATGCCATTTAGCTTGATCTTTGAATTAGATTGAACATTCACGCTCTAGTTTGTTTTCTTTAAATGCGATTAAAGAAATACGGTTAGATTTGAAAGTTTTCAATTATGTACGAGTCCAGTCAAATTGTATGAAGATGGCAGAATACTCAAAGTTAGGTTGCGGGACTTGGACAAATTTTCAAAGCGTTAATTCCATTCTTACTTCTTCATTTACTTATATAAAGCAATAGACAAAATTAGAATTAAATCTTACCTAAAAATAGTCAATGCAATAAGAATATATCAATATCACGAATGTTGTCTTTGATATGGTAACTAATAAATTAAAGAAAGTGTAATATTAAACTAATCTTTCCTTAAAACAATAGTCAAGATTGGATCAAATCTTACCTAACATTATACACAATAAAATCGGCAAGAATATAATCATATCTTATAAGATTTATTTGTCATGACAATAAATAAACATAAGAAAAGTTTAATCATAAACCAATCTTTTCCTTAACTTTAATTATTTATCCCATCAAATAATATTTAGGATGGTAGGTAAATAAATCCGTGTTAACTGTAATATGGAAACTAAAAATTGCATCCTATTTTGGGTGTTAAAATCCTAAAATCCGCAATCACAGAAGTATATTGAAACCCGTACCACCTAGGACTGTAAATGGATCGGATATGGATCAAATCTGCCCATATCTGATCCGATCCAATAAAAATAATTATTGGGAAGAATACATAAATCATGCTTTTACTTTTACCCATTTCAAACATACCAAAACATGTTTCAAATTTCAAAATTCAGGTTTCTATTAAATTTTTAATTATGAAATAATAATTATTTAATTAATTTATTATTAATACTTAATTTTACTATAAAATAATTAACCCACCCCTCCTTCACCACCCCTACAACTCCGGGGCNAACCCACCCCCCCTCCACCACCCCTACAACTCCGGGGATATTCCGGCGATCTTTCCGGTCACCACTATTCTCCGGCTACTTTTCCGATTCCGGCGAATATGTTAAGGTCACAGATCTATACAATTTGGTCACAATTCGAAATTTTTTAAGTCACAATTCAAAAATTTCATAGGTCACAATTTGTTCATCGGTCACAATTTAAAAATTCAAAAGTCACAATTTTTTCATCGGTCACAAATCACAAAATTTATAAGTCACAATACTTATTTAGGTCACAATTTATCAATTTATTGGTCACAATTAATAATTTTTAGGTCACAAATTAATAATTTTTAGGTCACAATTAATAATTTTTTGGTCACAATTAATAATTAGTGGTCACAAACAATCAAATTATTTGTGACCACC